TCAAACCCAACAACCCCAATTACCGAACAAATTGTCATTGATGATATCGCACCAAACAAACCACCGCCTCCAGTTTTTGTGAAAGGCGTCGCGGATTTTCCTGAACTTTGCAAAAAGCTTATTGAAATTATCGGAGTAGATAACTTTGTCTGTAAAGCATCTGCCGACAAATTAAAAATCCAAACTCCAAACCCTGATTCATATAGAACTCTAGTTCGTTATCTTAAAGAGGAGAAAGCGCAATTTCATACTTATCAACTCAAAGAGGATAAACCTTTGAGGATAGTCATACGGAACTTACATCCTTCCACACCAACTGAAACTATAAAAGAAGAGTTAGAACTCCTTACTTTCGAAGTCAGACAAGTAATTAACGTCCTCCATAAGGTTAACAAAAACCCTCTTCCGCTATTTTTTGTTGACTTAGAACCCACGTCCAATTCTTCCGAAATTTTTCATCTGTCTTCTCTTCTACACACTAAAATCAAAATTGAAGAACCTTTCAAACCAAAATCAATAAGTCAATGTCATAATTGTCAACAATACGGCCATACAAAAGCATATTGTGGCTATCAACCACGCTGTGTCCGCTGCGGCTTGGATCACCTCTCATCCCTGTGCCCAAACTCACGTGAATCGCCTACAAATTGTGCCCTCTGCTCTCAAAACCACCCTGCTAACTATAAAGGGTGTACTATCTATAAAAACCATCTTCAAGTAATTTTATGTATGAAAACTCTAAAACTAAATTTACCAATGTACAAGCTAGCCACCCAATTAACCACTCAATTCCTAGTCAACCCATTTCTCAAACACAGACTTACGCACACGTTACGTCCAACGCTCCGCCCGATAACACAATTCCTCCCCCTCCTGATATTAATAAGATAATGTCAAGTTTCATAGACGACTTTAAGTCTCTCATCAATCCTTTAATTTCCCTTCTCACTAAAGTAATTTCCTGCCTACTTGATAAAAATGCTAAATAACAATTATAACAACAACTCTGTCACTGACAACTCCCTACTTATATTACTATTCAACGCAAATGGCCTAAGAAATCATGCTCATGAACTCGAAACAGTATTAAACAACAAACGAATTGACATTGCTCTCATCTCTGAGACACACTTCACTAATAATTCTAAAATATATATCCCAGGTTATAAATTGATTAATACAAATCATACTGATAATACGGCACACGGAGGCGTGGCTATATATATTAAGTCATCTATTACTTACCATCCTTTGCCTGGTTTTTCCCAAGACTTCTGTCAATCTTGCTCAATTCAAATTAAATTAAACTTTACTTACTTTACTATTGCGGCAATTTACTCCCCTCCCAAACATAATATAACAACCGCTAGGTTTACAGAATTTTTTAACACAATTAAAAATAATTTCATAGTCGGAGGTGATTTTAATGATAAACACCAATCGTGGGGCTGTCGCACAGGCAATCCTCGAGGCACTACGCTTCACAATTTTATAAACTTAAAAAAATACAAAGTACTTGCACCTCCTGCTCCTACGTACTGGCCATCTTCTCTCAAAAAAAAACCGGACATACTTGATATTTTCGTCACTAAATTACACAATTCACTTTATAACAACACAACAAATATTCTTGATTTAAATTCTGATCACTCCTCTGTACTATTAACTTTAAATACCTCTCCCCCAATTCTACAAACATCGCCTAACCTATTCAATCGTTTCACTGATCGTCTCAAATTTCATGATAATGTAAATGAAAATATTAAATTAAATATCAAACTCAAAACACCTGACGATATTGACTTAGCAGTTAAGGATCTCACTAACATTATACAGAATGCGGCGTGGTCTGCTACAAACGCAAATCCCGCCACTCCTCATATTTCCAACCCACTTCCAGAAGTGATAAGAACGTTGATAACTGAAAAGCGTAAGGCTAGAGCTTGTTATCAACGCACTCGTTTACCCTCACATAAAAAAATTTACAACCAACTGGCAAACTCTTTGAAGAAAACTCTCGCTAAACACAAAAATATAATGCTAGTTAACAATCTTACTAATCTCTCCCCAAAAGACGGCAGTCTGTGGAAAGCCACAAAAAAAATTCTCCGATATAAAACCCCCAACCTCCCTTTAATAAAACATAACAGCAGTCTTACGTCATCGGACTCTGAAAAAGCTGAATTATTTAAAATATATCTTTCTGAGATATTCCTGCCTCATCCAGATATATTTGATCCTGATACAATAACACTGGTCAATAGGTCTCTCAATGTCCCTCCTCAATTTTCTCTCCCAATTAAACCCTTCTCTCCTAACGATTTAAAATATCAAATCCTAAAATACCCACAAAAAAAATCTCCAGGCTACGATCTAATCACGGCCGAAGTAGTAAAATGTCTCCCCAAAAGAGCCATTGTTCATATTACTCATATTTTCAACTCAATAATCAGATTATCTTATTTTCCTCTACTATGGAAGTTCTCGACAATTATCATGATCCATAAGCCAAATAAGCCAGCTGATACAACTTCTTCCTACAGACCAATAAGTCTTCTTCCCTTCCTTGCGAAAATTTTAGAAAAACTATTCTTAAACGTATCCTACCAATAATTTCTGACAAAAAAGTTCTACCGGACTACCAGTTTGGTTTTCGTTCTTCGCATTCGACGACCCATCAACTGCATAGGGTAGTAGATGCAATATCTTTCTCTCTGGAAAAAAAATTATTTTGTACAGCAGCTTTCTTAGACATATCACAAGCTTTTGATAGAGTCTGGCACGATGGTCTCCTGCATAAAATAAAAACATTTCTTCCTTCACCCTTCTATCATCTAATCAAATCATATCTAACTGAACGTACCTTCCAAATACGTTACGGGTCTGACACGTCAAGTATTGGCAGTATAAGTGCTGGGGTTCCACAGGGCGGCATTTTATCCCCCATTCTCTACAATATATTCGCAGCAGATCAACCAATCACACCAAATACATCAGTAGCAGATTATGCCGATGATAAAGTAATTATATCTATGAATGACAACCCATGCATAGCCTCCGCAAACCTTCAAACTCACCTAGACCTTATGGAGAATTGGTATACCAAATGGAGATTTAAATTAAACCATAGCAAGTCTATACACACCACCTTTACGCTTAGACCAGCTCTTACCCCTGAGGTAACTCTGTACGGTGCTCCAATTCCATCCTCTCCTTCAGTTAAATACCTTGGTCTTACATTAGATAAAAGATTAACTTGGGCCCACCATATTAGAGCAAAAAGACTTTCACTGAACAACCGCTTTCGTATCCTCAAACCTCTAGTCTCTAATAAACACACCTCCCTTCATGTCAAACTCCTTATCTACAAAATATTACTGAAACCAATATGGACGTACGGGATACAGCTATGGGGAAGTGCAAAAAAGACAAATTTAAATAAAATTCAATGTTTTCAAAACATTGCGCTAAGAAAATTAATAAATGCTCCCCCATACATATCTAACCATACTCTCCATACAGACCTAAAATTAAAAACTATCCACGAGGAAGCTAAACACTTTTACAAAAGATTCCACAACCGTCTTTCCTCCCACTCAAATCCTTTAATTAAAAACCTTTCCTCCCTCTCAATCCCCGGCAGTCCTCCTAGACGATTAAAACGTGAATGGTGTAGAGACCTGTTACAAATTTTAATATAGAAAAAAAAAAAAAAATACTAACTTATTAAATATATTTAATTCATTTACATTTTTCATATAAACTATCAACATTTAAGTGTCATCATTGGGTGGCTTCTTTATTCACTTTTTGTATTTTGTATACTCATGTTATCTGTACCCCTTATCATATATGCTTATTGTGTCGTTTGATATAGATTGTATATTACTTATTAAAATAAAAAAAAAAAAACATGTTTTTGTATATTTGACATATTTATGCATATTTCTATTTTACCGGGTATATTACACAACATTCAATTAAAATCTATAAAAAATAGAAATGGAAAATAAATTTTAAATTAAAAATAGAAATTATGTTATCTTTTTGATACTTGTACATTTAATGAATAAATTAGTTTCAAAAGTTTCAAATTTAAACCAATTACTGATAAAGGCGTACATTATACACAGTTCATGAAGGCTCAAGAATAGTATTAAATACCTAGTATTTAAAATCTATTTTTTTTAATTGTGACATAAAAAAATAAACGGATAATTTAAGTTATTTTAAAAATTAATTGTGATTTTTTTAAGTGCATAATTTTAGATACCTATTTCATGCAAGTAAATGCATATTATTGACTTTTTAAAGCATATTTCAAAGCATATTTTGTCAATTTTAAGTACATAAATGCATTTTTGATCACCCACCCCCTTATAAATCCCACCTTAAAAAAAAAAAAAAATGGATATACAAAACATAAGTATGTAGAAATAAATAAAATTTATTAGAAAAACTGATGCACAATCTGATTATCAATGAATGCCAGCCCCGGCAATTTTTATTTTTAATAATTTAATAAAATTGATAAAAAAAACTTTCAATTTTCCAAAAAGGAGTTATTAGCTCTTTTTACCTAAGTACCTAGTATCTACCTAAAAAAAAAATCTCAGTTGTGGCTATAGTCTTATAAGCCACACCTGTGCACATGCCTTAGATGCTTATTTAGGCATTTTTTAGGGCATGAATTTACGAACCATGATGATGACATTCGTGAACATTTCTTGGGTGTAAATACTAAATATATAAATGTATTTATGGTTCTTTTAACTAATAAAGTTATAGCTATTACTATACTAAAGTAAATTTAATTACTATGCAACATACAATTTGAATTATGTGACGATGGCAGTGCCAACACTGAATAGTAATATATTGTAAGAGTTAGTTTTAACAGTTGGCTACCATGATTCTCCTCCAAGGTGGTCGTCATTGTTCCATGGTTTATCACAATAATTCGTCATTCCGTATTCTTCTTTTTTTATAGATATATCTATCTCTCTTTTTCACTCACTCGCTCCACTCTTTCTCTACCATATTACCATCTTTTGGTTTATTTTCGCGGAGTTCACTCAAGCAGTCAAATTTGTTCATCGAATGGTTGGCGCTTTAGCAATACGTGTCGTAAGATTGTGGAATGATGATCCAACAACGATAGTTGTGTAGAACACCACAGTCCAACTTATTCGAGTAAATTGCGAAGACAGCATTCACTGGCCTGTTTCATTTTGCCAGTCGCATTATCATCGTATTGATTAAACACCATCGAAGCATATCGAGGTGATTACAATTGCAAATATTTTCTGTGTACTATGGATTTTATTCTCGATTATCACCTTTTTTTGTTAAAGTATTATTAAATTAAGTTCTTCGTTTTTTGTTAATTCTAGTTTCATATACATGACATCCAAAATGATTGATTTAACCATTAAGACATTGGATTCTCAGAATCATAAATTCCGGGTTCCAGATACTGTAAGTTTCACTTTTGTAATGCGTCAACAAGCACTTTTTTTTCAATTTAATGTATTTTTTTTTTATTACTAGTTTACTATATTGGAACTTAAAGAATATATTGCAGAACAAGTGAATGTTGCAGTTATCCAACAGCGATTAATTTTTTGTGGTCGTGTTTTGAGCAATGAAACCAAACTTGCTGAAATTGGTAAGTTTTGAGATAGTGTTAATAAAAATATATTTAGGTTTCTTACATTTTTCACAATTGTTTTACTACTAGGTATTTCTAATATACATAATAGTTATCGTAAATCATTATTATATTAGTTAAGGTTTATTTTAGGTTAATTTATAAGTGTATTTTATTACTTATATTTTCTGAAGAGCAATTTAAAATATTCTGATTGAAACTAATTAAATACTTAGTTTAAATTTACAGTTATAATTAATATATATAATATTAATTATAAAGTTTATTGAATTAAAATAGATTCTGATAATAGATATGATAATAGAAATTTTATATTTATATAATAATAAATTGTTATTTTCCTTAAATATTAATTGATTTGTACATAATTATTGTATGTGTAAAATTTTATTTGATTTAATAGTGTCTTAGCAAACAGTGATTAGCAAAATCTTAAATTTTAGAAAAGCCATTTTCAATGAATTTTGACTTATAATTATTAATATTAGTATTCTAATCAATATCTAAAAATGTTGATAAATACATTTATCTTCAAAATCTCTAAACATTTTATTTCTGTAAAAGTTTGATTTTATTTAATTTAAAAAAGGAAGTAGAATTAAGTATATTTTTGTTAATGGTATAAACTATCAAAATTTGCATAATTGCTATAATAAAACATAATATTTTTCTGTAAATTACATTAATTATACAAATAGGATATATGGTCTATTTAATAGACTATTTAGTTTGCAATAGTACATACAACTATTTAAGGTTTGGTTTAATTGTTATTAACAGTAGTAGAAGCATACCTAGATTAAGACTGCTAATTGTGCTGCAGTAATAAGAACAAAAGTTTCACCTTTTTGAATTAGTCAAAAATAAAATATAATTCATTGATATTAAAGATTTCTTGAAACGTAATCTCATACAATAATGATAGCAGCATTTTAGAATAAAATAATATTGCTACTTAAGTCAATTGGGGATACTAATAATAAATAAGTTGTAATGCCGCCATGTCTGTTTTATTTTGAGTATTATTGTAAGTGTTTATGTTACAATTTTGTGTTTGGTGGTTAAGGATTATGTAAAGCAGTGTTAGTCATCCATACATTTTCAAAACTGATGACATAGATCATTAATCAAATTACACAAATCAGTTAAATCTAAGAAAATAGTTTTAATGGTATAATTATGATTGAATGAGTATTTACAAGAGCAAACTATGTATCAACATTATCCAAAAATGTCAACTATACTTGCAGAAAGGGAAGAAAAAAATTTTGGAGTAGCTAGTCCTGGAACTTTTTCTTTTTTTTTTTTTTTTTTATTGAAAAAATCAAACAATTATATTTCACACTCTAAAATACATATATACTTTATGATTTATTTATCTCCAATAAACATTGTTTGTGGTGGAAATTGAGAGTTATACTATATACTACATTTTATTTATTAATACATTTGAATACATTATTAGTACATATTTTCAATAAATTAAGAACAATTTGCCATATTTTTATACAACCGGTCGTATACAATTTTTTCACTTTTCAGTGATATACATATTCATTTTTTTTTCATTACTATCAAAAAAATTAAAACAATTAGGACTTTGATATTGAATCAAGTCTTTGCATTATGTTTACCTTAATAGCAATTTTTGGATATGAATTGGACTTCAGTATTTCAACTTAATCAATTATTTTTTTTTATAATTTCAAGATTTTCTTAACATTAAAAATATTTTAAAGGAGATTTATTTTAAGAATTGAAAGATTATAACCTCCAGCAATGCTCCATTAAATGAAATAATTTAATGCAAGAGTAGAATTATATATTGTAGGGAATTAATATTAAAAACTTAATATCTAAATAAACTCATTTTACCTTATAAGTCTTATTTAATAGCTGTATTTCGTGGACTAATTATATTTTGGTTGTAAACATATGTTTTGTTTTTAGGTATTGATGGAAAAGTTATGCATCTTGTTCAAAAAGTTCCACGCTTGTCTACTACTACATCTGGACCATCACCATCTACAACAACAAATACTAATAGTCGCTCACATCAAAATGGAGGACCTGGATTTAGAGGATGGCATACACATGATCCTACTGTTTTATTTGGTGCCATTGGTATTCCTTCAGAATTCATGCATGCTGGAGGTAAAGAATAAATATTTATTTTATTTATTTTTATTTATAAATTAGAATCATAACCATGAAAAAACATTTATTTATAAAAAAATTAAAGTTATTTATTTTAAAGTCTTTATTATACTTTGTGATAATACTTATCAATAAAATTTCTTAGAGTCTTACAATTTTTAATAAAATATTGTTTTTAAAAGAAAGTAAATAATAATCATTATTGTGAATTCGTTTTATATACCATATTTTAACTATATTTTTTTTAATTAAATTTATTATAAAGTTATCAGAAAAATGAATTCAAATTCAATATTGAAATACCATTTCAAAAAAAATACTGTATTGTTTCCTTGATTTGTTCAAGATATTATGACTTTTTTTATTTATTTTAAACTTTAATTATTGCATTGGTATTATCCTATGATTTGAAAATAAAATAAATGACTAATATAATATTGATAATACTGGTAATGCAATTCACTTAAATACTTAGTTTTATTATTAATATTATTATTATTTTCACTATCGTTTAATTGTCCATGTGAAAAGCACTTTGAACGAAGATCTACACCAACATATCTAAATGTTTGATCTTAAGTTTTGTTAATCGTAATCATAAAAGAAACTTAAGCTGAAAACTGAAGTCGTTTAAATGAAAACGGCAAGTCAGTGAGAATCATGGGAATTCTTGGAATATATGCAATTTTTCTTTTTGCTGGCCCATAGGCAGACATTTAGTTGAATTTTTTTTTGGAGGGGGAGCTTTTATATTCCAACGTAAAGTGACTCAAGAGGGCTTTGCCCCTGCACCCCCTTTTTATATACAAGTACAATATATTACATATTCTATTGATAGAATATATATTTTTAATTTCTTTTAGATTTACCACGTCTTATAAATGCCAGAAGTCATGGGACTGGTAATAGAGTATCATTAGCAATGGATATGATACGTAAAAGCAATGAAATATTAAATAGACTAGAAAATCCACAATCCACTGGACAATCTTCTACAACAGATGCAGAACAATTTCCAGAAAGGACTCAAGCCGAAGATACATCAGTAAATTTACCACCAGAAGCATCTGCTTCAGAATCATCTGCTCCAGAATCATCTACCCCTGAGACATCTGTGCCTGAATCATCTGCATCAGAATCATCTGCACCCATACAACAATCTGATCCAGATTCAATGAATGTGTATGTTAAATGTGTTTATGTAATTGCCGACTTAATTTGAGTAAAGATATCAAATTTATTAATTATAATTCATATTATTACTGTTAGATATTACTTTAAAATTAAAATTATTAATTCTAAATTCATTCCTTTTATTTTTAAGAAAAGTTAAATTTAATAATAATTTATAATTATTAATATTAGTATTCAAATTGATATCTAAAAATATTGGAAAATACATTAATCTTCAAAATCTCCAAGCATTTTCTTTCTGTAAAAGTTTGATTTTATTTAATTTAAAAAAGAAAGTAGAATTGAGCATATTCTTGTTAATGGCATAAATCATCAGAATTTGCATAATTGGTATAATAAAACATAATATTTTTCTGTAAATAACATTAACTATACAAATAGGATATATGGTCTATTTAATAGACTGTTTAACTTGCAATAGTACATACAACTATTGGTGTTTTACTTGAATTGTTATTAACAGTAGTAGAAGCATACCTAGATTAAGATCTTCTAAAACAAGAAAGTATTTCTAAATAATTTTTTAAATATAATTCGTATATCATAAATACATTTGTTTTCTTAATTTTTAAATTCTAATATTATTATTATTATTGTCAATTGGAAAATGTTGATATAATTAATTCAATATAATATAATATAATTAATTCATATAATTAATAATAATATGTGTGTTTTTGTATATATATATATTTGTTAATCTAATTAATTATTTTGTAGGAGTTATGAAGTAGATGAAACTTTTCCAAATACTGTTGTTGTTACAATTGATGCTACTCATCACATGAGAATGCCTCCTGGATTAATACGTCATATGCACAATCACTTACAAGCAAATACTTCACAGCCAACTTCTCAAAATTCAACTGAACAAAGTAAGCCTTTATGTTATGTTTTATTTTTCTAGTTATTAAACAGTTGAAAAATGTAATTTATTTCCATTTGAAAATTATAAATTTCATAAAATATTTTCAACACTAATTAATATTATTTAAAATATAAATATACCCATTTAGGAACTGTTATTAATTATTAAAATATTTTATTTAGAAACATTTTTGTATTTTATTCACAATTTGAATATAAAAAACTAAAATATTTTATTCAATATTTAAAATATAATTATGATATTAAAATTGTATTTTATTCTAGCTGCTGAAAGTGAGACTACGACTATTCCTGAAACTACTCCAATAGGATCAACTAACCAATCTCCAGGTTATCAAGCAACAACTGGAACATTACCATCTTTTATAACTTCCGACCAAAATTTAAGGTTTAACCAAAATAAATTGCATTTTATATTGGTTACATATTTTTAAATTAAATACTAATTTGTTGTAATATTAATACTTAAAAGGAATGATCGTCCAACTTCAGAAAATAGGACTTCCACAGCTATTAATGATAGGCGGCGTTTGAGAGAATTGATTGATCAACTAAATAAATTAAATGCTAGACTTCAACCATTTTATGCTATATATTGCCAATTTATTAACGAAGATCCTCAATTTGCAACTACAGAAGTATGATCGTTAAAAATAGTTGAAAACTAACTCATATATTACATAACTACACAATATTAAATGTTTTTTTATTTTTTGCACAATACCAAAATTCATTATAATTTAATTTTTATTATAGGGTGAAAATGGATCACATCGAGCACAAACTGTGTTTAATAATGTGTCTAAAGTGATGCATTACATATCACATGTTTATCATGCAATTAGTGATTTAAGAGTATCATTTAGCAGACCACCACCGCGTTCCTTCCAATCTCGCCCTTGTTTGTTACAAGGTACTATTTTACATACTGCTCATTCAGTTACTACTACTAATACAGCACCACCACCTTCTACTCAACAACCTACTTCTACGCAAACAACTTCTACAAGTCAATCTATTCCTAGTATACGGGCCTTTAGGCTTGATTGTAAGTTTCATCTGATTTTATTATCAACTTCAGGATCTAATAACATATTTTTATATATTTTAGTTATGAACCCTGATGGAACACCAAATGAAACTCCTAATGTAACCACTTCAGTTGCCAGTACTGAAACAAATACTAACATAACAGTGGATCCAAATACTGAAATTAATAATACATCTACTGAGTTTCCACCAGAAACACCTCATGGAGTAGAACTTATGTTTGACCTTGCACCTGGATCTATTCGTATTGATTCTGTTGAAGCTGCATTTGTTACTCCAAATGTTTCAGGATCAAGCCAACCTACATCTGTTTCTCGTAATTATGATATTCTTGTAAAATAATAATTATTTAAAGTTCTAAATCTGTGTTTCTTAACCTGGAAGATCGTGAACTACTAAATGAAGGAGAGGTTGCATCTATTAGAAATAATTAAACCCTGATGTAGAAAAAAAACCTTTTGTTAACAATTAAAATTAAAACAACCATAACCATAATGATAAAATGAAAAAGTTATTTTGTAGTATAAATTCACTATACATTTTATTTCATTAATCTAGCTAATCAAAAATTTGTTTTTTTATTTTGTTAATAGTTAATGATATAATATATTTTGTAAAGGGTAAAATAGTTAAAAATTTAAATTAATTTTTATTATAAGCAGGAGATGAGTCATAACTGATTTATTTTTAATCTATTAGGGGATCCTACATTAAAAAGGTTGAGAAACCCTGTTTTAAACTATAGTTGAGTCTTGAATCTCAATAAAATATCTAAATTTGGTTTCTTAAAATCTTTTTTTTTTTTTATTTGTAAATGATTTTAATCAGAACGATTCCTCCAATTATTACATTAATAAGAGGTTTTTGATTAGAAAAGTAGGTAATTTGAGGGGGGTTAGGTTAATTAAAATTAAAATTCCCAGTAGTTTTATTTATAACCGAAAAACTGATGAACAATTACAAAAAGAAAAATAACAAGATATAAGGCAATACCAACTTTTAAAATAATAAGTGGCATGTAAATGGAATATAAGAATAGAGTGATATCACTGCTTTGAGGAACACCAGCAGAAATAGGAAATTGATTATAGTTTTGTAAGTTGTGACGGACATTAAATGATCTGTTTTCTAGATACATTTTAAGTATTAGGTATGAAGGGACAGGTTATATTTTTTTTAGTTAAAAAATAAGACCGTCATGCCAGACAGTATCAATGCTTTCGCAACATCTAAAAAGACTCCTGCACAGTATTTTATGGTTTCAAGTGCTGATGAGATGGTGTCCACTACACAGTGAAGTTGATGGGTTGTAACATGAAGAGAACGAAAACCAAATTGGAAGTTTGGAATACTGTTATTAAATTGTGCAATGGTAGTAATGCGCTTGAGGATGACTTTTTCTAGAATTTTACCAAGAACTGGTAGAAGGCTAACGAGAAGGGGTTTTCTGGAGACTTACCAGGTTTAATTATAGTTTAGGTTTGAGTACAGTGACAATGACTGATGATTTCCAAGTAGTTGGGAAGTAAAATAGGCGGAGGGCAGCATTATGAATATGTGATAGATGAACAATCATTTCCGTAGGGAGATTTTTAACTACTTTGTTGGAAATCAGATGATGGCTTGGAAATTTGTTGTTTGCAATTGTTTTTTATTATGCCTACTATCTCCGCTGGGGAGGTTGGTTTTGTAGAGAGGGTCATAGGTAATGTTGATTGAACAAAATCCAAAACTGTCGACATATGTAGTGCTGGTGTGGAAATAAGATAAGGTTTGAATACTCCTGATAGTTCTTCAGCAAGAATATCAGCTTTTTCCTTGTCTGAGAAAGCAAGTGAGTTGCCTGGGCGGTGAATAGGAGGAGGCGAGTCCTTAATCCGCAGTATTGACTTTGTTTTACGCTAGAGGGATCCGTTAGAAAATGAAAGGTTTTATGTATAACTTGTACAAGTTGGTTTTGTAAGTTTTAAGTAGTGACTTCAGTTTATTGGAAAGAGAGTTGTACTTTATCTTATCTGCCAGGTAGTGAGTATGTTGCCATATTAATCTGGCTCTGCGTTTTTCAGCAATGAGTTGTTTTAATTCTGGTGATAAATTGAGGGTTTGAAAATGGGGTGGACTTTGGATAGATGAGTCCATGGCTGCTTATTGAATGTCATCAGAGAGTTTGGCAATTGTTTGGTCGACATCAGTAGTTGATTTTAATTTTATATAAGAGTAGTTTTTTGAGATGATATCTTTGAATTTGTTCCAGTTTGTAGTACCCAGAGTAATGGTTGGTCTATTTTTCTTCAAAGAGGGATGAGCTCTGATTTGTAACAAGACAGGTGTATGATCAGAAACTGTGTCATTTAGACTTATAATTTCAGTGGAAAAGCGATTTGGAAGATTGGTGATAAAGAAGTTGAGAGTGTCGGCATGACGGTTGCTATGTGATGGCCAATAGGTTAGAGAAAGGGACGCTATTACTTTAAGCTGATTAAGCGAGATGAAATTTTGTAGGGCACGGTCTGGTGTTTTGTTGACCGGCTTCAAGTTTGATATTTAGCATTGAAGTCAGTGTCAATAATATGGATGAAGCTTAAAGATTGAAAAAAATTACTGAGTTTTGCCGAAGGAAAGGTCTTCCTGGCGGAAAATAGCATGAAGAGATGGAAATAGTTACGTAGTTTATTGTTATTGAAGTACTTGCTGCTTGAATATTTGTAGACAGGTATGGTGAAAGAGGTGCATGATCAATTTTATTGGAGATGAGGATAGGAGCGCCTCTGTGTGCAGTACCATCTGGATGGTTAGCTCTGATAATAATAAATCCGAATATCTTGAGTGTAGAGGTTTTAGTTAGGTGAGTTTCAGAAATAAGAGCTATTAAAACTTTTTTTTCTTTTTTTTCAAGAACTACTTGAAGTTCATTTAAATGTTGTAGGTTGCAGTTAGCATTCCATAAAAATATGGAGTGGTTGCAAGTTATTTCCTGGCATTATTTATAATTTTGTCAATGATTGTGGTGAGAAGTGATATAAGTGGGTTTATTAAAGCTTTGAATTCATTAATAAATGAGGAGAGATGTGCAGTAATATTTTGGTTTTGGCTTGAGTTGGTGTCTTGAGTGTGAGAAGATGAATCTTGATTTAATTATGTGGAATGTTGTGTGTAAGCTTGATGCAACCGTTCATAGGCATTTACTTCAAGTGGTTGACGAGGAGGGGAACTTTTATTTAAGATATTCTTTGAAGGATTCGGTAGTAATCTTTTTAAGATCCAGGTGGGATTTACAACCCCGAAAGTTAGCCAGGTGATTTCCACCACAAAGAGCGCATTTAGCCGGGGAGAAGCGATCCTTGGTATATGTTGTTGATTTATGGTGCTCACCACAGCGAACACATCGAGGAGAGTGATTGCAATAGCTATGAGTGTGGCCATAAGGTCTGACAATGGGATGGCATATATAATTACTTTTTTAGGGTGTGGAATTTCAACTTTAATTTTTATATAACACAATGAGTTAAGTTTGATAATATCGAAATTTGTTGGACTTGGTTCAATACTAATAAAGAAGATCGGTAGGGGATTATTGGTTAACTTTTGAGTTACAGGCATTATGTTTCTAGTGACAAAGCCTTTATTTAAGAGTTCCTGCTTAATAAAAGAGGTATTTGTAGAATGATGTATGTTTCTAATTACGATGCAATAAGGTTTTTCCTCTTTTGATTAGTATGAGTGAAATGTAACATTATTCATTATTCTTGAGGTATTTGATGACTGATCGGTATGAGGCAGGGCTGTATGTTTGCAGTTTAAGACCTTTGGTAGAGTTTTTGCAATCGAATCCAGAGGTATCAGTTAATTCATTAATTTTTTGGCAGAAGTTATTGTAATTTATTTGTTCTTGAATAAAGATAGGTGGTTTTGAAGTTTTATTACTTTACAGATTCATTGTTTACAAATTGAGTCTCAACTGTATCCATTGGTTGAATTTCGTTAGTGGGAGCAATCGGAGTGAAACGGTTTACAGAAATAAAAATATTTGTGTCTTGTTTTTTGTGGTATAAGTGTAGTTTGGAGATCTATTACGTTTAATATAATTTATTGGGACTCTTTTCCAATCGGATTCATTGCCCGATAAGTCAGAAGGACTGTTTTCACCCGTTTGATCAATTAATGTGTTGGAGATAGTAAACGGTGGTGGGAAAGTTTTAATAGGTGAATTTTTATTTATTAGTGATTTGGGAATTTTGGTGATAGGCGTTGGTGGGCGACGATTAGGCTTCATAATTATGTAGATAAGGTAATTTATAGGTTGGCCTTGTGTAATGTTTAAATAATTTATACATTACCGACCGTACGAGTACCGCGACAAGCGTTGGACACGAAGAACAATACACACGCTATTGAAAGCTGATAAAAATGGAGCACGTGATAATTAACGTGTGGACTGTACGACGTCTAAACATGAACTGCACTAAATGGTTATATCAGTTTTCTATACATGTTAAAATTGTCTATAGATATTATTGACATAGGTATATCAGATTATATCATATTATATTTAATATTATATATTATATATTTTAAGACACGACAGGCTGCTATTACTAATCTTAGGAGTAATAGATGGAAAAAATCATAGAGGAAGACCAAGATTGCAATACATAAGTCAGTTATTAGAAGATCAAGGATGTAATTCATATCAAGTGTTGAAGAGAAAAGCTAGTGATAGAGAATCATGGAAATTGCTGCAAACCAATCATTAGATTGAATACTGCAAAAGAGAGGGAGATATTATTGAGTGTTTCATAAATAGTTGAAAACTTCATGTTTTCTTAGTTTTTTTTCGTAAAATGGTGATTAAATAAGTTTGGTTTAATAAAAAGTCTTTGAATTTAACACAGAGGTTCTACATTTATTTATTTTATTGGTTCATGAAGAAATAAAGATAGAAATCTAAAAAGAATTCTTCGTTTGTTTTATTATTAAATGTTGACAAGATAACAAAAATCATGATAGTCCTTCACATTTTTATCGTTAGAAAAAAACATTTAATTATAAAACAATAAGGCTTGAACATTTATATAAGATTTTTCATCAAATTTTCTTTGTAGCAAAAAGAAAAAGTTTTGACTGGAAAGCCACAGAAAATTATGTTTATAAGTGTTAGAATATAGAATATTGATGAAATAAGATATTTTAACAAGTTTTAATTATACTGTATTTGGTTGATATTCCATAAATATTTAATTATAGCTACTCAAAACAATTACTGAGAGCTTATATTAACATTTTAAAGACTTTTCATAACTTTCAAATTATTTTAATGAAATTTGTGCTGTTTTTTTTTTTCACTTGGTATTTGCCCACCTGAAGTACTCATGATGTTCCCTGGTGGTGGGTGATTCATAAACAAAGGCACTTAAAGTTTTTAAAATTTCCTTATTTTTAATTGGTTTAGTAACCATTTTATTTTTGTATAATTTAGTACATTAAAAGTTCCAATCTACTTCATTATGAAATTTTTTTTACTACTATATCAACCATCTTTAGAAGTGTAAATAAAATTAATTTTTCAATCTCTTTTATTAAAGATTGTTAATTTAAGACAAGTGGTACATCATACTTTATTTAGAAGTTTCACCTGTTTTTTTAATTTATTATATTCTTAATCTTGGGGTAGTACAATTTTAATATTTATTAATCATGATAATTTAAATCAGATTTATTATATTTTTGATTGTTACAGAACCATCAAGTAGTGGTGAAACATCAAATAATTTGCCTATGCCTATTGATTGGATGGATCAGATGATAGATGTTATTTCTAGCGGAGTGCGTCGTCCTTTCATGTCTGACCATTTGGACTGGAATAGTATACCAACCACTTCCACTAGAACTCCTCGTGTAACTCCAAGAACAACTGATTCTTCATCTACTACAAATCCTCCACCACAAGGTATTTATACTTAGTGTTTTGGAGTATTTTGTTTAGTGCTCATTGATAGGAAAATTCTTTTTTTTTTCTTTTTTGAGCTTCTAATAAAAACTATTAAGTTTGACAATTATAGTAATAACAACAATTATTATTCAAATTAAAATACTACCAATAACAGAATCACAATAATAAAAATATATAAGAGTACCTAACCTATTAAGAGTTTTAATAAAGAAGCCAGCTTCTTGAATGTAGGAAATAATAAGAATAATTGTGGGTTTTGAATTATATTAAATGTAATTTTGAGAGACTTAATAGAGTTAATTAAGATATACTATTTAGATTTTCATGATTTTTAGATTTTGAATGGAGTGGTGAATGTATTGATTTTACAATTATATGTTTTTTTTTATTTTTTTTTTTTTGTGTCATCACCCTTTGGAGCAGTAATAGTGCTTCTATTTTTTACTTCAGCTCCATTTCTGAAAGGAAAGTGAATCTAGTTGGTACTTTGGGGTTCAGGAAAAACCCTAAAAAAAGTAACGAAAAAACGGAAATTATTACATATAACTAATTTTTGACAAAATGGATTTTTTTAATTTGCTGTAACACAAAAATGAACAATTTTAATACTTAATATTTTCACTAAATGTTTAAATTAGCAATATCTATATACGATTCAATTTTCAAAATATTTAGACTTTTTTAAGCTAATTATAGACAGTTAAAATTTTCAATTTTTCAAAGCATTTTTCATTGAAATGTCAATAAAAAATTCTGAAGTATGCAACCCGTTTGTTATTATTTTACATGTGTATATTTTATTATAGGTCTTAACCGTGGACAATGGGATACTAGTCCTCGCATGGATCCATTTTTGCCTTGCAGTTCACACCATTTTGAATCAAATTTAAGACCTATGGTATTAGCTAGGCGTTCTAATCAAGGAACAGACAGATCGTCAACTTCTGTCAATAATAGCAACTCAACTACAGACACTTCATCTCCAACATCTCCCAATGAAGTAAGACATATTTCATCTGGAAGACGACTTGGTCGACCAAGAAATCGTTATGTACAAGATTCAGATGGAATTTTGTCTGGTATACATCCAATTTTGGCTTGGGGAAGAAACCTTCGTAACAATATAGCTACAACTTCTGGAACCTTAAATAGTCAAGTTGCTGGACAAAATCTAGGTTCATCAGATTCTCTGGCTGGACAAATAAGTAATTTCTTCATATATATTATAACATTTTATTATATATTTTTTATTTTTATGGAAAAAAGTTATTATATTTAGTTCTAACATTTTTAAAATAGTTTGAATATAGGAACTTAATAAAACAAAAATTAGTAAATGGTTAATACTCATAATTAATATATAAATATATAATAATTCTCCAGGCTAAGCATTTATTTATTTATATATTAATAGTTTTTTTGTTTATTATTCTATCAATATTTAAAATCAATTCAAGATTCAAAAATTGTAACTTGCTATATTTGTCTTTATATGAGAAATGTTTTTAGTTAAAAATAATGTTTTAAAATTCAGGTTATTTATAATTTTTTAGGAGTTGGTATGGACAATGCTTTTGACACATTTGAAAGAGAAGAAGATTTTGATAGACCAACCGGATTAATAACTATGCCCCCTCTTGGTGGTATCCAACGAATGGTAAGTAACATTTTCTTAAATAATATAAACATAAATAGTGATTAACCCTAATCTCTAATAGAACAATAAGCCTTATTTTGTATTTTATATTGACTTCATAGAGTTGAAACTATTACAATCTTAATCCTAGTTTAGTTTAAGTTGTTTACTTCTATAAATTTAAAACTCACAGCTTTATAATTGTTATTTGGTTTCTTTAAAATAGACTATTTAATTTGCCATCATTTATGAACCTTAAAAAAGGTTTTCAAATCTGAAATAATGTACTGTCATATTGATGAATATTCTTAAATTAATTTTGATTCATTGTAATAATTTTTAATATTAAATTTTTCTTTCTTTTTTTTTTTTTTTCTTTGGGGTTTGTCGGCAATTAAGACCATCCTGTCATACATCCAATTTTCCATATATTAAATATTTATGTTCATAAATTTAGCTGTAAATTTTATTTTTATTATTATTTTGTTTATAGAATTTAGAATCTGTATCAATTCCAATTCGTCGATCAAACACACGCCAACCAAATGAATTGCTTATACCTGTTGGTGATATACCATATTTTAGAGATTTACAAGGGCGATATGTTTTGATGGACTTATTTATGTTGATCACTCGTAACTGGACCTTATATGACATGTTAAATTTGAATTCTGTTGATGATGATTCTTCTATATATTTAAATCCAGCTTCTAGGCATAACGAAGCATTATTCAATTTCATAATAGATCGAGTGATGCTTAATCAAGAATCTATGCCAAGTAATATTGATAGAGCTGGAAATCGCATATTTAGAGAGATGATACCCTATTTAGAAATATTTGTAAGTACTAAATACACTTAAAATTAAATGTATAACTTATTTATAAATGTATAATTTATTATTATAATAGCAATGTTCTGTGCCAACTCGTGCGAATATTAATGTGGTTGAATCTTTTCGAAGGTGTATTGTTACAAATTTACATTCGATTGTCCACTATTGTGATCAAAGTAAGATTTCCAATTTAAATTTTATTTTAGATATTTTGTTAGTATTTACTAGTTATATACAGTAGTTTAAATTGTCTAGTTATTAATCTTTTATAATAATGCATTGTTTAATATAATACCTATTTTTTTCTTACAACAGATTTCTTTGTATGAAACATTTTTTAATGTTAAACATTGAATTCTAATTCTTTGTTAAAAGAATTCAATAACTATATGTGTATCTATATTTTACAAGTATTCAATGTAAAAAATTAGTTATATAAATATTGTTATTAGCTTTAATATTAGAGTAAACTAATCTATTATAATACTTAAGTGAGTTTGAAGTGTGTAAAATATTTAAGTTTTAGAAAATTAACTTGAAAATTAAAATATTGTAAAAACCTTATTTACATTAGGGATGGGCAAAAAAAATTGATGTTTATGTTCAAAAAGTTCGAATTTTTTTTCAGTATATACTATACACTTATAATCGGAACTCGTAAGTTCAGGCACTAAAAAAACGCATAAATAAGCATGTAATAATGCACTAACATTTGATCAAATATGCATTAAAAATACTTAATTATGCACTAGAAAAAAAGGTTTAAGAATTTTTTAAAATAATAAGAATTATCCATTTATATTTTTAATAGTTATATTTGTTCTTCGGCTATATTTTATTAAAATTATAATTAATGAACACACGTTGTAACGAAAATAGATAGATTGCAATAGACACATCAATAGGAGGAGAGTGGTAGTGGTGCGCAATAACATTATTTTTGTGGTACTGCTTTTAACTTATAAAAATTGATGTCATTAAAAAATAAAAATATTGATAGAATACTAAGGTTTTATAAACAAGTTCTGAAGGGTAAATATGAATGAATTCAAACATTTATTGATCTAATTTTTTTCTGACTTCCAAAAATAACAATTTCACTGAATTTACATAAAATAATATGCGTTAAAAACTCAAAAAAAATCAACTATATGCCAATACACATAACATACAAAAACATGCTCCATTAAACTTAAGATTTTTATTAACATTGTTATCAAACGGATTTTTATCTCAATTAGCACATTTTCCGATGTAGCAAAGAAAGCATGTAAATACATTAACTTACGAGGCTTGATTATAATTATTTAATATGTTTTTTTTAAAAATATAAGTTAAACAATAGTATTTTCACTCTTAAATCTATTATTTAATCTAGAAAATAGTATACTGTACAGATAATAAGGTGTGCAACAGATGGCAGATCTAGAAGGAAAAAAAAATTTTTCTTTGTTTTTAAACTTTGATGTTTAAATAATTTTGCCCATCCCTAATTTACGTACCTAGAAAATAATATTCTCCTTTAGTTTGACTAGAGTTTATTCTAGAGTTTACTCTAAAGTATGTATAAAAGCTAGCAATTTAAAACTACTTCTAATACTAACTATAACTAATTTTTAATTCATGTATTTTTATATTTTCATATATAACTAATTCATATAATTCATATACATTAATTAATATATTGTTTACTGTAACTTTTGAAAATAACCAAAAAAAGATTTCTATGATCAGTAAATGGTTATGGTTTTTACTAAATTTTCTAAAATAATAAGAATACAGTTTTTTCTCAGTTCACATTTATTTAATATTGGTTTAGAGCATATCAAATTAAATTTATAACTTCTTAAAAGTGCATTCAAAATAAAACATTAATAATATTTTAAGAAAAATATTTGACTCTAGTTTTAATTATAGAATGCATATATATATATTTAAAACTCCAACTGCTTTTGTGTAAGAAAATATTGTATTAATTATTCAATTAAAAATGTTTTAGTTCGTTCAGGAGCAACAAATGATCTTTTATCTCATTTGATCATGTTTGGGGAAAGACTTTTATCATTGATAGTTTATTGCTGTAACAGCCGTGCTGTATTTCGACTAAGTGTTATGGCATTAATGGTAATTAATACTAATGTAATTTATTAATACTATATACTAATATTTATGATTATTTTAGCAATTCATGCCACTTCCTGCAAATTTACACAGGTTTTTAGTACATGAAGTTCGTGCCAATATTGATCAATATTGGGACATTATGGCCTCTTTTCCTATGATGAGCCTATCTATTATCGATTATATTGTACCATCTAATACTCAGTTTGAAGGTGGAAGTACATCAAGTGTGGTTAGTATTTTATATTTTTTTTATTCTTGATTTTTACTTGCATCATTTGATGATTATTTATAGATTGATGTAGAAAGTTCTTCTAATTCAACTCTATCCTCATCTGAAACTTCCAATGAACCTTTACCTGAAGTTGTAATCGAATCTCAAGAATGGCACACCAGTGTTCCTTCAGTAAGTTTGTATAAATAGATTTTGGAAAAATACAATAAATATCAACACTAGTTTTCTACTTCGCAGGAATGGGTACCAGTGATTGCTAGAGATTCACAACGTCAAAGACGTCAAGGAACACAACCTCCCTATAGTGATGCATATTTATCTGGTATGCCAAATAAACGCAGGAAAATAGTAACCAGTTCTAAACCTCAAGGACCTTTATCTCAAATCATAGCTAGTGAGTAATACATTTTAAATTATTGTTAATTGCTATTTGTATTCTTGGTTGACCTATTAATTTTACTGATTATACAAATACAACATGTTCATCAATATTTTACTTAACACTTGTATCTTAGTTTACCTTTAAGTTTTAACAATATACTTTAATTTTAAGTAATACTAATCAAATTAATCAAATCAAATTCTTTCAAATAACTATATGTCATCTGAATTATTTTTAAAATTATATTAATTTCATTATTATTTTAATTTGTTAAGAAAATTTGGAAGTGGCCATGGGAGCAGCTGGGGTAGCTGTCAATAAAGAAGTGACGACAAGTGTTGGAGCTGACACGGGTGTACAAAATGCCTATACTGAACGCATTAGAAAATTTGGTAGATCTGGAATTGAGACACATCCAGATTTTTGTCCTGATCGTTATCCTAATGCTTCAAAATTTTTTTACGATCATAATCATCCAAATTAACAAATTCATGCTAACTCAACAACCTCAACAAAATTTTGGTTTTATTTTCGTTTTATTTAAAACCCTAATAGACTGACATGAGAAAAACAAGAAAATCCGATGTTATTATTTTTATTATGTATTGAATTTACTCATTCTCTAATTATGCATGAACAAAATTTATACTTTATATAGTAATAATTGAATAAATACCCTTTTAAATTATATTGTGGAAGGTGTTGGCGATTAATTTAACAACATTCTTGGATATTTATAACGCTTTTTAAAATTCTGTACATATACATTATATTTTATGTATTTATTATAAAGTTCAATATTACTATTTGTTTGACTTATCGTCAATTTAATTATTTCTTTAGATCATTTATATAATATAAGAGTAGGTAACACAATGATTTGATATAAATTTAATGTAAAGAACATAAGGCTTTTCAATTTCATAGATTAAAGTTTTATTGGTAAATCATTTTGGTTTTTAATAATATTGTATTTTTAAATAAATTAAAACCAATTATATTATACATACATACATACATACATGTATGTATAGATATATATATATATATATATATAATTATAATTATATCAAAATATTCTTTAAATTTTATTCACCTTCAACTGAATATAATATTGTATTTTTATGTAGCACATTCATAGTTGTATAACTTAATTATAGTTAATTTTAAGTTTACAATATCAATAAATGCATTGAATGTTTTCCAAAATGGTTTTTTTATATTCATTTTAGTAGTCTGAGTTTTCCAGTTACAGGTTTAAGTTGATCATCAGATCCAAAAAATGCAAGAGCAGTGAAAGAATTTGGTTCCACTTCTGTGAGACCTGCATCATGAACACAGAAAAAAGGTAAATTATGTAATTTACCTGCTGAGCACAACTTAACAAGGTCAAAAGTGTTTTTTGCTTCAACGACAATTTTTCGGCTTCTGAAAAATAAATATTTTGATCAAATATAAATAATTAAAACCCTATGTAAATAATAGAATTAATTGAATGATAATAAATATAAAATACTTTCAATCATTTGATTTATATCAACAGAATTGAAATAAAATAATATTAATAATCATAATTCTCTATTGTATTTTTAAATTGGTCATTATAATATAGTTATGAGCCCATAGTTATGCTGTCTTTCATACAGGTTATAGGAACAATAACAAGAGTTATGGTTATTAAACAACTAAAATAAATTTTAATATAACATAAGATCTCTATATACTACTACTTTAGAATACTATATAATAATGAAATGTTATTACAACATAAAGGATAGCTACCTATGATTAAACATATTTTATTTTTTCAATCATTTCACAATTTTTAAAAAATATACATTTACATTTAAAAATTTCCAAAACCCTACCACTTTTCTCAGTCTGTAATTTATTATAATTTGTTAAGAATTTAGCAAATATATTTTATTGGACTAGTTGAAAGAGCAGAAGTCTCTATTAGGTACAATCATGATTAAATCGTATAAATGCAATATGAGATTCACATTTTTATATTTTTTAATTTTGAATTTGAATAGAGGATTGTTTTATAATACAACTTTGTAATTTTTACAATTGTTTAATTTTTTTTTAAAAGGGTCCAATACTTCTGTTAATACTCCATTATAAATATCAAAACCTAAATAAAGATGTAAATAATATTTATATAATGAAAAATATCAGAATTATGTACTTTGTAAATAAAATCCACAATTAAACAACTCGTACAGCCATATCAAGTAAAAATATTTGTAAAATTAATTTTTTTTTATAATTTAGATTTGTTACGATACTTCTTTAAATTAAACTAGATTTATGTAATATGCATATTTAATCAAAGGTATTTGGAATCTTATACTATAATTGTAATAAGTACCAGAATACTATATCTAATGATTTATTAAATATTAACTTTGAATCTTAGAATATGTCAAAATTAACTAACACAACACTGAAATAAGTTTGATTGCTCAAATAATATTAAATGTATTCTTTTTCTTTTATGAAATCTACAGATGAGAAATGCTGAATATTAAATTTGTAATGCCTATTTGGTTTATTGGATTTTGCCAAGTTAAACGTTATGAGTGTTAAGAAAATGAGTGTAAAGTATTATTTAGTTCTATAAGATAATAAAAAAAAATTAAATAAAAACTTACCCATTTTCATTCCAAATACTTAAGTCATTACTGAGATCAGCACGTTCTTTAATTACTTCATATAATCCCAATGCAGCATGGGCAGCCTAACAGAGATAACCAAAATATTACAATTAAAAAAAAACTATTTAATCAATTCTTAATTTTATATTGCGATTATATGTTCATACTTGTGATGCAATTTTTCCAATGCCCATATTCAAGCCTGTATTCATAACAATAACCATTTTATAAGCAACAGTCACATCTTCCCACATTTGATCACCATCATCATCTACTACAGGTATAGGTTCACCAGAGAAGGGGTTCGAAGTTAGTAATTGTTCAACAATTAAATCTTTAGGTAAATCACCAGCATTATCAACAATCTTAGAATTGTTTTAATAATTAAAAAGCCTATAATGAATAATAAGAGCAAAGTATTGAAATGTGCTTACTTGTAGTACTAATGATTTAGGAAAGCCCATATCCATTAGTTCTTTTACGAGTTTTTCTTTTGTTTCCATTTCAATAGATTTATGGACTTTTGGTACAAAACAAACAAACGATAATTGCAATTTGAGATAGTTTACTAAAAAATATCTATTTAGTAATTTGATTTCAGTATGAAATTCTACTAAAATAAAAAATGTAAATAATTTCAAAAAGTACTGTATAATAACATGATATACATAATCTCATGATCACAGTATTTGATTACCGAGATAACCACGTTATCGTTATTCCCGCAATATCACAGATATAAATATTATAATCATATATAATGGAGTATACTATTATCTATAATTATAAAGCCGAGTCCACATTATAGAATAATAGATGTTACTCTATTGTCCACAGCAAGGTTTAAGATATTGTTGATGGCACGGTAATACCATGAGGAGCATCTAAACCACGGATTAATTATATTATTAATTATAAATATATTAATCCGTGGTCTAAACACAGGAATGCACCTTAAGCATTCTGCGCATACGCGTAATTTATTCATTACTATCATAATGTTAAGCTGTTATTATAACAGTGTTATATAGAGTTACTCTATGAGCTGTTATCAATATATTATATCAAATCACTATAATACAATAATAATATTATTATAATAATATGAGTTATGAATCAAACTATTCAAAATTTAACTACATACTTCCTATGTAAATAATATATTGTCATTTTATTTTAGTTGTTAAATTCCTTATATTCCCTTCCATTCAACTGGAACATTACGCCTTAGTATACTCTACGTTTGAAATCATTAATTTTTGACAATAATTTTTGTAAAATGAAACCATATGGACTGTGTCGCATTTAAATGAAGGCATTATAGGCATGTGCCTACAGTAACAAATTTGAAGAATTTATTTTTATTATTAATTAATAATAAAAGTTATTTTAATCTTAAAAATTTTTTTTTTGGTATTGAAATAAAATTTATTTTGCATACTTATCTAATTAATATTTATTTTATAGTAGATAAATTAAATTATAATTCAATTAGTGCAGTATATTATTTTAGTTATTCAGAGGGGCAATTTTCCATAGGCCTACTCGCGGTAAGCATATAAATACGCACATGTATATAGGTACATCAATGTTTCCAAATTGTTTGATTTGAATTATGGTGATCTTTTATTTTACCTAGTTAAAATTTAGGTATAATAAAATAGTTATACTTTATATGCATTTTTTAGAATAAAAAAGTAGAAATTATATGTATAATTAAATTGTATTGTTGGATTTACTCGAAATGTTCATTTTGAATATTTATTAAATGTATTTAACGAATAGTAACCAAAATGTTGACGTGTTGTTTTTTCAATAGGTTGTTCAAAATTAATATCACCAGTTTGTTTAGTAATTGATTATTTGATTATGTAAACAATAATACAATTGCCTGTACTATTTAGAAAAAAATAACCGATTATGTTGATCATTGGTGTTGGCTTGAGTTAGTGGCACGACGAAATTATTATTTTGGAGTTATCGCTCCATCAAAATTCGGCGCGGGTACTGCCATTCTGAGTTTAAAATTTAGTGTTGTAACTCATAAGACTACATCATTGGAGTGTACCAAATTAACTAATTAATTGGTAATTACGAATATCAGCTCAAATGTAGACCATCAGTGGAGATAAGAGGTACTTTATAAACATTTTATACAAATATAAATATTTTTGTTCCTTAAAAAAAATTGGAAAAACTCGAGTTGGGTCCTAGATTTCAAAAACAGCATGAATTGGGTCTGGATGTATTTTATGGAGAATATGAGTTTGGTTCCGGTATATTTTATGAAGTACATGAGTTGGGTCCCCGTTTATTTTACGAAGAACATGAATTGCCTATATCGTTACCCAGGAAACACCACGTGGAGGTTGGCTAGAATGTTTCTTAAAAATTTTGTATTTTGTTACGTTAGGTAAGTTAATGGTCTGATGTAAAAATTATTATTAAATTAGCTTAATTTTAACTTAAAAATATTGTGTTTTTTCTTTTTATTGTATACAATTTTTACATATTTTTATTTTTTATTATTAACCTATTATAATAAGTTAAAGCTAGAGAATAAGTTTAAAAGATATGTCTTTTATAAAATTTAACCGGGTCAATTCTCCACTAGTAAAACAAAGCATCTTTTCTCATACGAAATTTTATTTTTCTGCTGTTTTTATGATCGACTTTGTGGCTGAGCTCGAAATTATATCTAAATTTCACTCTGAATTCCAAGTAAAATTTCTATTAAAACAACAATTTTAGGGCGAACTGCACTAGTTTTAGTAATTTATTTTGCATGAAAACTTTAATAATACATAAAATAAAAATATTGGTGAACGCAATTCGAGTATTATCGAATAACACCGTGGACCCAACTCTTATTTTCCTAAAAAATTAGTACAACACACATCTGATTAGTTATTTCTAACAAATAATTTAGCATCTGATATTACTCCGATGATTTTTTCGAAATACAATTTTGTAAATTCGATTTTAGTTTATTTTAACAGTTTTCTCGACCCTAAATCGACTACAGTTATTATCTAAGGTTATTTAATATTTATGACTATTATTATTTAATAGGTATTACCATTATACCAGCATTGTTCTGTGGTATTACCCATGTGTCAATAGACAATTATTGAACTTTATTTGTTTATTATACGAGCTTTGTAATACACTAGATTATAAAAATATTGGACAGTATTTTAATCGTTAACACACGTTTAACAAATCTTCGGGCTCCTACAACCCAAGATCTATAAAAAAACTTCTTTAAAGATCTTGTCTACAACCTACACAACATAATATTATTATTAGGTTAGATTAGGCAATAATTTAATCCTGGTGTGTGATACATAGAGTAATACTCTACGGTGTGATATTATACAATCAACTGAAACGTGTGTGTTATCACAGTGTTATAGATGTCGTACTTATCATACACAATGAATAATTAATAATAATAGTTGCTTGTATTGTACTATGGTTGTAACATTCAACAATTATAAAAAATAATTTTAGTAACAGAATTGTGTACTGATTCACACAAGAAAAATATCATCAGTTGCCAACATCGCTAATCTATTAAGCGCATGATGGATGTTGAAGACGTTTTAAACGATGTCGTCTCAATGGATGACCTTAAGGTAAGTTTTCTATTTGTTTTTTTTTTTACCTTATGGTCGTGGTGTTTTTGAAACTTGGTTTTTCATATTTTGCGTATTACTCGATGAGCCTATGTCTTTGTTGTGCTTTTTTCTATTTATTTGTATTGTGTTGGTCAGTAGAAGTATAATTATTCATAAATCTAAAACTGTTTTGTTATCAATGTCATTTTCTGAACTAAAGTTGTAGTGAAGGATTTAATAAATCAATTATAAATGTCGATTTAAAAACGCGTTTGATTTGTAAGGTGTCTTAAAATTCATAATATTTTCAATTATCTGAGTTTTACCACAATAATATAAGAATAAGTTAATAAACTTGATGAAAAAAAATAAATAAATAATTTCTTCTCGGTAAATATTCAAGGTTAAACAAAAAGTCATAATTTTTTTATAGTAATATCATAATACATATTATCCATTTTACAATCTTAGTTATTGATTTTTTTTTTTAGAAATTTGAAAATGAATATCATAAACAACTTGCAACGGGAACTGTTTCTCAGGAAACAAAATTTCATTATGCTTGGTGTTTAGTGAGAAGTAATTATCCGGCAGATATCAGGAAAGGGCTCATATTAATGGAACAGTTGATCAAACACGAAGCAAATGATGATGATGCCAAACGGAATTACCTTTATTATTTAGCATTGGGAAATTCAAGAATTAAAGTAAGTACTTATTTTTATTAATGTGTATTATAATAAACCTTTTTAAATTTTTTTCACGGAAATTATCTAGTGAAATGTATGTCTGTACTATATACAATTTATGTATTTAAATATTGAATATATTTACTATTATATATTAAATAAGTACAGATAATAATTTATACAATTATTATTTAAATTAAAATTGAATAAATAGTCATATAAAATATTAAAACAATTTTTAACTGTAACTAAATATTTTTTGTATAGGTACATCTATTATTTTATTGTTATTTGAAACAATTGTCTACTTAATATAAAAACTTTTTGGATAACTAATATATATATATATATATCTAAAGAAGTAATTGATAATTATTTACTTTTAAACTAGAATAATAAACGGTGTATTAAATAATATGTATTTTATAATATTACTCTATCATAGTCTATTAAATGTATGTGTAAATTGTTGTTTTTTAGAAAATTATAGAATTTCTAAGTTGTACTATGTATACTATGATACAGTGGTATAGGTACAAGAAAATACTCTGTAGCCTCAATTAAAGGAGCTCAAAGTAAAAACTTGTATATACAAAAGTATTTATGCAATTATAATTTTTTTCTTAAATTATATACCTACAAAATGGTAACAGATTTTGTTTTTATTTATATTAATAAAGTAGTGTATAATATTAATAAGTAATTTAATATATGAACAATAAATTGTATTTAATTTAAAAATATTTGTATACATGTTTATATATATCACACAAACATATTTACCTTAATAGTTATAATAACAATCATAAAACAATTTCAAATTCTAAATGTTAAAAACTTAGGGTTAAAACATAATACTTGTTTTAGATACTAAATTTATAGGTCCACTAATGTTATTATATTATTAAATTATTATATTTTATAAATTAAAATGATAAAAATTTGAAATCTGAGATGGTAGCTTATTTTAAATATTTTCTAATGATTGCTGTATAAAATTTAGTACAAATGTTGTATATTATTATTCTATAAAATTTTTATTTGCCTCTATTATGAAATGTATTATAGTACCATTATCATTCAATGCAATGTGTAATAATATCAAAAAAAACTCAAATTAATTTATCAATGTTTAATATATTTTGTTGTTTTAATAAAAAAAAATTGTTTCTACTATTTTATCATGCTGAATAATTAAAAAGGTTAGAAAAATGTTAACAGTAATGGCAAACTAAAAACCTATTGTACACTTTATTAATAACCAAAAAATTAGTTTGTGTGGCTAATTTTGTCACAATTATTTTTATCTTTTATTGATGTAATTTTTATAAAAATTATTTAACATGAAATATATATTTCGATTAAATTTTGTTTTTAGGAATACAGTACAGCTTTACAATTTATAAAAGCCTTTTTACACATGCAGCCTGAAAATATGCAAGCACAGAACTTATTGAATACTATTCAAAAGAAAATGGAAGCTGGTATGATATAAAGATAGTAAAGTAGAAACTATAACATTTTATTTATACGATATATTTGTTGGTTTGACTATAATTTTATAATTCTCCTGGTATGTTTGTCCCTCAATTAATATTGAGTAGTACTACACATTGAATGAAATGACCAATTATACTAATACCTTATATTTTGTTATAAGTAATTTCTTGTGTATATTACAAATTAGATATCAAATTTATCAGTATAGCATTTTGATTTCCTTTGATTTTTTTTAATAACTTCAATCTATTTAAAATTTCTACCCTCCATTAGTGTGAATATAATAAGGTTTTATTTTGTAAATAAAATTACTCTATTTGTTTTCAATGTAGTAAATTATACTTAATTATTTATTTTAGATGCACATAAAGGAATGGCAGTTGCTGGAGGCTTGGCATTAGGAATTAGTGCTATTGTTGGAATTGGATTTGCATTGGCAAAAAGCATGAAAAAGTAATCATTCCATCAAGTTAAGTCATCTGCTTACTATTCCTGTGTATATTTCAAAGTGTTTTAATTGATTTAAGTTTAAGATTATTACCTGATTATATGTCAAAGTATAATATGAACTTAAGGCAAAAGAAATATAAACAATTGTTATGTAGATTTTTTTTTTTTTAAGCCGTGAGTTTTTGTAATTTACAAATAAAAATTTTTTTTCTGTAACTAAAGATAAATTACATTTTTTTTTGTTAATTATTTACCATACAATTTAAACCATTATAATTTAAGATATATATAAAAAATTTCCAACTTTACTACATTCAACATTTTATATACTTTAAAAATTTAAATAAATATTCTTTTCAATTTAGAATTTAATTCAGTTTTTGTAATGAATATATAAGTGAAATATTTTATTAATTTATTTTAAAATGTTTTTCAATATATGATATTATTTAAAGTTAATAATAATTAATTTAAAAAATGTACAAAAATTTAATGTGCTACATTAATGATTTTTGGAATTAAGATATTAAAAATATTTATAATGAATAAATATCTTTCTATCACATTATCTCTATAATTTATTATAACGTGTTTAAGACTAGGAAATAATATTGACTTAAAATTTTGTAAATAATTTATGCATAGTTATAATAATATCATATAAATTACTAGTTTTTACTATCCACACTCGATTGAAGAAGAAAATTTAAAATTTTTTCAAGCTCATATAAATGTTTAGTAGATTCTAAAATATTAATTCTATGTTACTAAATCACTAGATCACATTTATTAGAATAATTTAACAAGATAAAATAAAAATGCAATTGTTTGTATGAAAATTATGTTGATTTTGTCACAAATAAAATTATAAACTAACTATTGAAAATATACTAATAAATATATCTACCTAAATACAATTTAAAGTTCTAATTAAAATCCCAATTTAAAAGCCTAAACGGTCATAAAATATTATTGTTAATCCATGAATTCATATAACACATCATATTAATCATAATATATATTTTGTGACTGTTTAATCAATATAATCAATATAAGTATTCAGTGGTAACATGATTTTTTTAATAAATTTCATAATTTTCTTTTAAGAGTCTACTGTTAGGCTAACCAAAACTACTTCCTTTCATAGTTCTCTATCATTGCCTATTTTTAGTCTACTCCAATTTCTTCTAATAATTCTTTGACGCTGTCCTTTTATCTCTTCCATAGTCTTCCTCTTGGTCTCGTACCTCTTACCATATATATCAATGTTCCTTTCAGCATACTTTTTTTGGCCTGCCATATATGGCTTGGCCATTTTATCCTTGTCCCACTGATGAATTGGACATCATCTTGATGTGATGGGTACAACAATCTTCTCTTTTGTAAAGCTGATATATTTGGGTGTTAGTTCTTATTTCCCATTTCTGTTCTGTATTATTGAATGTGGATCCATACATTTTTCTAAGGATTTCTTCTCAAATAAACGTAGTTTTTCATCATTACCTCTCGTTATGTGCCACTCTCGTCTCACATGGCACACACATATGTCAATACAGGGCAGATATAATTTATGAAGAGATGTTTTTTTGTTTTCCTTGTTAACAGTTTGAATTTAAAGAAGTCTTTCAGTTCATAGAGACATTGATTAGCAGTAAAATCAATAACATTTTAATTTTTTTTTTTTCGTTTCATACAATCACAATTAGATGATTACAAATAAATGTTAATAAATCATAATTAGATAAGTAAAAATAAAAATAAAAATAAATCTATATAATTCTGAGTCTATATGGATATAAATAATAAAATATAAAAATGCTTAAATTAGTTAACAAATATAATTAGAGATATAAATAAAATTTATTGTAGTTAATGGTAACATAGTTGTCAGAATTCGATGTTTGTTTTAGTTTTAGGTTTAGATTACCCTTGACAAAATCTAGCTACTTCGATAGAATTTGGATTTGCACACAGGAGATTTTTTTTTGTACATGAAAATGGGCAGCTTTGGCAGTTCAGTAGGTGTTCCATGTTTTGTTCCATACCACACTCGCATTTTGTTGAGATGTCTTGTAGGATACCCCATTTCTTTAGGTTGTTTTTAGATCTGTCACTCCTACTCTGAGTCTATTAAGGGATTTCCAGGTTGGCCAGTCTAATTCGTATCCTGCTGGTAAAAGTTTCACTGGTTCGGACTCCAGTTTATTATTTTCCTTGAAGAGAGAGAGTTTCCACCTTTCTCTTCGTACCTCTTCAGGGTGTTTATTTAGAAGTTTTGTAATTTTCAGAAAATTATTTCTGGATGCAAGTCTGAAATTAGGTGTAGTTTGGCTATGTAGTAGGTGTCGTATATCAGTTTCTGCTTTGGTTCTTTCCCAGTCTGCTGCGACCTCCCGACGGATGTTTGGTGGGGCGATACCAGCGAGTTGGTAAATTTTGGGAAGTGGAGTACTCTTAAGACAACCTGTTACTAAGCGGCAGGATTCATTCAGAATGGTACCTAATTACAGGGCCGCATTTAAAGAGGGTCACTGGCTATAACTGCCCTGGGCGCAAGTTTTTCAGTGGCGCCAAAATGTTGTGGTCGGAAATTTTAAAATTATTATTTTTTTTGTTTTTAATAACAGTATCATAAATTAATGTTAATGTATTTAATTTATTAATATATATTATTAATATATTTATAACAATATAGCTATCAGCGATCTAGAATATTATTAATATACCTCAGCGGTTCTTAACCTGTGGTCTAGGAGTCCGCGGCAGCCCTAACACATAATATATGTCAGTACATGACATGAATGCATTATTATAATATTGTTGAATTAATATTATTAATCTTTTTCATATATTTTTTTATTATATAATAGATATTATTATTATTATTATTATTATTATTATTATTATTATTATTATTATTAT